ATTATAACCCTCCTATTATTGGCGAATTTATTTTGCTGTTGGTTGTGGTTTTAAAGAAATAAATAAATAAAGAAATAAATTGATTGATTCATTTATTCATTCACATTCATTCATTCGTTATAGCGCCACCAATAATTCTAGTGTAGTCACGTGATTAATTTTTAAGACGGCGAATCACCATTGGTGATTTCTATATGGCGTGTTCGCACGGTGGGTGTTTTTGTAATTGATCGGCGGGTGATGAATAATATTGTGATCTGAAGTTACTTTCAAATTGTGTATGTATTTTGGTATAAACACAAAAAAATCATTCACATTAAATAAATACATTGCTCCGTCTTGTGCCTTATCTTCAATAGAAAACAGTAAGTAGATTTTCACTTATTATTAATGCCTAACGAACAAGAGGTGGTGAGTGGGATATTATAAGAATGCTGGCAATCAGCCGACCCGGCGAATAATGTAGGCGTGTCCGAATGAAAGCAAAACCCAGCCTCAACCTAGGTAGTTAGTTAGGCCTATATGCTTCTTGCAAATCAGATGCTGTAATTTTTTTCAGACATTATTATGAATTCATTAGTTAGCCAAATTATTAATGCAATGACCGAAAATTGGCAACTTTCTCTGTTGTATAGGAGAGGCTAACTTAACTAGCCTGAATACAGAATAGCCTAGCTAGCCTAGGCCTAGCCTAGAGTAGCCTAACTAGCCTAGGCCTATGGATGGATGCCTGCACCATTTTTTGCACTGCAGCAGCAGTTACTGGGCTTGTGCGTAGGCATACTTCTACTATTAGGCATAGCTAGCTGGCTAAGGCAAAGTGGCTAAATACTACAGTCCACTTCCCCAATGCCAACTCCCAGTATGATGTCGAGCTTTCCATAAAGCTTGGTTTGTAGAGAACATTTATTGAACCCTTTCCGAACATACCTGTTGTTATGACTAGCCCACGCAAACAACGTATAACATTGTTGTTTTGCAAATTTAATTACCAATAAAATTGGGACTTTTATATTGCTTTTATGTAAATTTTCAGTCTACTGTAATTGATTTTAACTATAAACACAACACATTCTTCGTCGTCACAATGTCACTTGCTGGTTGGTTGTTGTACAAACATGTGCTTCGGTTATAGTTATTATCAAAGCCCTATCGGGTCAAGTGCCTTACCATAGATTAAGATTCAGTTTTCTATATTTTGTCCAAAAGTAAATTACAGTAGGTGCAAAAATACATTGCAAAAAAAACTTTCAAAAACACATAAATTAATGGTACAGTACAGTACACTGCTCAGATTCAATATTTCAACTAGTAAATGAACTCCATACCATTCATGATACTATACTAGAGAAGATTCTTGACCTAAGCTGCACACTCGCAAAATCTAGCAAAATTTACGTATCCTCACTTTCAAGAAGTGCAGGCTATAAGAATTTATGCTTCACGACGGCCCAAAAGTACATGAAGCAGATCTACTGTACTAGAAAATAGGGTGCAAGCTAGGCGTACACTAATTCACTTTTAGTATTCTTATGATCTTAATCTTTTAAAAAATGTATTTTTAGAAAATAGGATTAAAGACTAAACAATACTATTACACACACGATGCTTTACACATACTCAATCTCAATAAGAGATTTATGGTGTAGAGTTGTTTTGGTTGTGAGAAAAAATCCTGCAACACTGACAGGAATTGAACCCAGGACCCTGGGATTGGAAGGCAAGCATCTTAACCACCAAATTATTTAACTCCACTCCATTGTACATTGGTCAACAAAAAAAAGAGGAGCAAACTTTTACAAATGTTTTTGAGAGGTCCTTCAAAAAAGCCAAAAGTATGCTAACAGTTAGAGCCAAAATGTTCTTCTAAGCACCCGAAAATCTGCTAATTCATAAGCCTACTGTAGGCTTTCTAAGCAGTTAGACCTAGCCTTTAATATTACTGGCAAACACATAATAATATTTATTTACATTGGTGACAATGAAGTGATTTCATATACTTGGTATAGTTATATTAGGTTATATTTAATTTAACATGGTATGCATGCAATTACACCTTTAGTGAGGAAATCAATATTAATATTTATGGTCTATTATAGTTGCTGTGGCATTTAAATGAATTATCACATATACCGCTAAAGATAAAAGCAGCCCATTGGTGCATACCGTATGTTTAACCTAAAAGCAGCACAGACAATTTTGTATTTCATTATTATTTTTAATTATTTGCCTTGTTAAATGGTACATATACAATTTAATATAAAATTTAAATATAGATGCGAGTTTCTATAACCATTATATTGTTGACAGTGAACAGTAGTAAGTACATTTTTTTGCTGCTTTATCATTGGTTATCATTCTTATCTTTTTATAGTTAATACTTCCCTTGTAGATTAATATTCCTGTGTTAAAACTGATGTTTGTTTTACTACCATACCAAGCATTATCTGTATGTTGCTAAAATGTTATGAATATTATTACTATAGGTATAAACTTTTGACATTTTGAAGCTAAAAATTACAATAAAATGAACTAGATATGTGCTCTTAATTTTTGAATTTACATTTCCAGACTACTAGTGTACTTTCCTTATTATTTTAAAGTTCATCCTAATAATTTTGAAAATAAAGTACAATGAGGCGCATTTTTTTTCATTGCTTTTCACTAATTTACAGATTTTTTACTTTGAAAGACCTTAAATAGATTATCAGCGAATTTCAAAGTCCTTCAGTATTAATTTATATTCCCTTTTATTAAACAGAATTTGAAAATCACAATAAAGAATAATGACACCAATTGAAGAATTCTACAATGGACAGACACTTCTGGTAACCGGGGCAACAGGGTTTATAGGTAAAGTTCTTCTGGAGAAGATTCTTAGGTGCTGTCCAGGAATCAAGGATGTGTTCCTGCTGGTGCGGCCCAAATGGGGGCACCCAACTCAAGAGAGAGTTGATCAATTGATGAATTGTAAGGTATGGTTAGAAAGAAATTGTGTTGACTCTCATTAGAAATATTTTAATTAGCATGGAGAAAATAAGGCTGTTTCAGCTTGGAGATTTATAAATATCAATTTGATTTTCATATTTGAAATGTGTATCACATGTGAAACTTCTAAAACTTACCTATTTTTTGTATATCTTTTAAAAAAAAATTACTAATACAATAAATTACTTTTCTTCCTCCCTTAGCTGTTTGATAAGCTTCGACAAACTCAGCCAAATTTTGCAGAAAAAGTTCATGCGATCAACAGTGACCTTCAGCAGCCGCAGCTTGGTATGAGCGATGAAGACATCGCAACACTTCAAGAAAAGGTCACAATCGTTTTTCATGTTGCAGCTACAATCAAATTTGATGAAAAATTAGGGTAAGAAAAATTGTTCTGTGCCTTTATAGTTGCTGCTTCTGTTTCCTTTTTCTTTTCAATTTGCCAGTGTTGTAGCTGTAAAAAACGAAGGGTGGGTGATAAGACATTTTAAGGGTGGGTAGGTTATAACTTTAGTAAACTCTAAATAATACGGGTAGATTTTAAGGATGGAAAAGTGAGTTAATAAGGGTGGTTGGAGGGCCATGAAATTAGCTTTAGACTGGGTGGAAAACTCCAAGGCTGAGTTGCTCCATCCATCTCCGCCCATCATAACTACATCCCTGATTGGTGTGGAAAGACCCTTTCATTGCTATACTAGACCCCAAGAAATTTGATTTATTTGCAACTAATTTTCTATTTTGCTGCTATTATAAAACCAAAGCCCTCTGCATTTTTTTAGTGGTTGAACATTTTGAGGTAAGTTTGCAACCTGGCCCTTCATTTTCAGAAGATGGTTAATAAAAACGAGACCTCTCAGGGCTATAACCAGGGTCTCGTTATCAACCTCTTGTCATCAGGTTTATTTTGTGGTATCATTCTATTTAGTACCTTTTTGGCCATGGAGATTAACAGCTTTGAGTGATCTCTGTCTGTCAACTCCGGAGGAAGTTATGTAGTAAGCTAGTCAAACAGTGAAAACAATAGACAACAATAGAGAATAATGGGGAGTTGGAAAGGCTTTAAGCTAAGACCCCTGTTGTGATTGCTTCTTAGCTGATTTAGAAGCGCTTAGAACAGAGAGACTCTGATGTGTTGACGGTTGAGTATTGTTCAATTGTGTCAACCGCATGCGCAGAACTAACTTGGATTGAAGCCTGGATTCTTTCAAGCAATTCAGAAAATTGCTGTGAAAGCATTTGCCTAAAATCAGGCATGTGCATTAGCTTGTTCAATTAAAATAAGTCATCAGTTTTTATTAATGTATTTGTATTTTAACTTGCTGTTTTAACAGGAGTGCAGTTTATTTGAGACATTGTACATTCCATTTTCTTTTTTGTTCATTTTTGACTTTACGTTTTAGTCTACTTAACAATTACACACCTTAATGCACCTTGGAAAGTACAAAAATCAATGGTGATATTGGTAGTCTATGAGTGCATACTTACCTAGATAAACCAACAAATTGCCTATTCTTTCTCACATGAGAAACACCCCTCAAAAAATAATAGAACAGTCGATTCCTGGCACCAAGCACGAGTGGCCCCCCCACCACCATGCAAGTTCCTTATTCGGCAATTGGTTGGTATCCAGGTAAGTATGGACTCATAGATTACCAACATCACCATTGATTTGTGTTATTTCCAAGTGGCCAGGTATTCTATTTGCATAGGAATAGCAATTGAACTAATTTGTATAATTTTTACTATGCAATTTAATTTTGAGAATATTTAATAACTTAAAGACACAAGTATGTTATAATAATAAAAACTTTATTTGATTACGGAAACACTTGTTAACCACAATCATGCCTCAATGGTGTTTTTTAACAAGGTGGTAAAGGCATTATACAAATCAACACAACAGGCATTAGAACAAAACTGTAAAAATGACTAATTACAATAGAAAATCACATTACTGAAAGAAACTTTACATTAACTACTATGACTAAACTGAATTATCTTAAATACACTAACATCGTTTACTGTAATAGTTTTAATTAATTTTTATTTTCATTTGAAAATTAAGAAAATGTTGTTAAGAATGTTAATGTTAAGAAAATGTTGTTAAGATTAAGGTAAATTTAAAAGTAAAAAAATATCAATAAGTGATGCTTCTACTGATTTATATATCAATTGAAAGTCTTTAAAATTCTTAGATGTCAGATTACACTAATGCATATCTGTTTTTATAATATTTGACAAAGAAATGCTATTATGTGACAATGAACTTTAGACTATTCAGATAAGAGTTGGCTTATGTATGTAGTAGCATTGATAACTACATTATAGCAATGGTCGTAAAATTATATTATAAAGACACTTTAGTTGGATTGCTTAGTATCTAAGGGCATGTTGTGTGACATCAGCAACGTAATACAGTTTATAGTTGAGGTCAGGGTTGAAACCCCACTTTATCAACATTTTCTCTGTGCACACTTGATAATGGGTCCCTGCCATTAGGTGATATTCTATGTTTAATGTGTGTCTGTTGAATATTCAAGACTGACTAGGAATGCTTCCCAGGGTGTAAATGAGGTCGCAAGCTATTTATGATTTTTAGTATTTCCAATAATGAATGTCCCTGGGGGCCATGATTTGAAAACCGCTGAGATGGTTACGTGTTATGGAAAGAACATTGAATAGCCAAAAATGATAACTATAGATAAACAGGATTGCATTGAATTGAAAAATAGGGTGTCATATATTTTAATTATTAATTTTACGGATGACTGAATTTAATACTGCACAAAAACAGCTTTTTTTACCGGCATCCTGATTTGCCTATACTTTAGCCAATCAGATGCAAGTTTAGAGAAAAAAATCTAGAAAGGAATTCTTCATTTTGATATAATTATATGTCAAGTAGAAGTCTAGACTTGCCACAAGTCTCTTATTTTTTTAAATTATTTTTCTCATTCTGGACAGCGCCACCAACGAGAAAGTTAATTTAGAGATAGACGGAATAAGAGACTTGTAAAACACTGAAGTCAGGCACCAGGATGCCAAAAGAATGACGTAATCAAAGGTTACCACAAATTTAACCCAACCTCTATTTTACGAATCCCCCGATTTACGTACGCCCTCTGGTCCCGTACCGTACGTAAAATCGAGGTTCTACTGTACCTGTAATTACTGTAATAGTACAATAGTTGCTTATAAGCCTTCAGTAAAGTAGAATAGTAGATATTCACTCAAAATTGTGTATGGCTTTATTGCAAGTATCTATGGTAACCTTAGTGATGTCATAGGAATCATTTCCATGTCGCTATCGTCATCGACACTGTTGTCATGGAAAGTCATATCCAATGACAATTTGTGCAAAATCTAGAAAACATTTCATTTCAGTACTACTATAAACCCAATGGAATGGTTTTTTTTTATTTTATTTTTTTTTATTGTATCTAGATAGTAAGGGGCCCTTTTCCATGGTGGTCAACAAAAGTTCAAAATATTCAGAACTTGAATAATTAATGAGCTAAAGTATTATGTAATTGATTATGTTAATGATTATTAGGTGAAGTACTAAAATTTCAAAACCACCATTGAATACGGTATGTAGCGCCTACAACAACTATTGGTAGTTAATCATGTACTGAAATGTTATACATAATTTACTGGTAGTCTATTTAAAATATAGGCCTACCCTAGACTAATAGTGAAACCTAGAAACCCTTAAAACAAATTGCTTTTTAAATGGATCAATGCAGGGACAATATTATCTGTTGATTAGTGATACTTTCATAATTCTAATAACTTGCGTAACTTAATTAATGCCGTTCGAACATTGAATAATAAGTTGTTTAGGTCAAACAGAGAGTATATTTTAAAGCCAATCATGAGCAGTTTGTGAACTTTAAAAAGAATATGATTCTATTAATTGATTGAAGTGAAAGTTAAGGCCTTATTTATACAAAGGCTTACTGTAAGTGATTCTTTATTTGTTGTTAATAGGCTCTCTCTCAAGTTAAATGTTGTGGCCACTCAGGAAATGTTGAAACTCTGCAAGAAAATGAATAGTCTTCAGGTTAGTATAGCAGTACATTTAATCATCTGAATGGGGTGTAGATACAATGCACTCTCCAGTTATATGAAAGTGCTTTTAGTTAACAAAATATATATAATGATCAGAAAAAAATTACATTTCTAAATAAAAGAATATATTTTAACACTTGGAGAAATGAAATGCAGTCTGGTACATTTTTAAAAACATTGCTTGCAAGCAAAAGTTTTAATTTTTATTTATCTACATTTTTCTTTCGTACCTCTTTATTCAGGTATTTGTTCATGTATCTACGGCATATGCTTACTGCGACAGGGACCATATAGAAGAGGTTGTTTATCCCCCACCAGTTGATCCATACAAGTTACTAGGAGCAATTGAGTAAGTCAACATGGTTATTGAATATTTAGAGAGCAGTTGTGTGCTTATGTCCTTGATCTATTCAAATAAATATTAGTGAGAGCATACACGCATCAAAATATGTGCCTTTTATAAGGATTTGCGTTAATCTACCTGTACCCATTGTGCTAGACTGAACTAATCGCGTAGCTTATACCATAACTTACCCAAGAGGAAAGCTTTCTAAGCTGTTCATACTGGATTTATTTTGACTCCTGGCAAGTTTTGCCCAATAAAATCCAATGCCAACTGGGCTTTAATATAGGGGATTTGTTAATCTGTAGATTATAAATGTCCCTGAGGTAACATCCTATTAAGCAATATTGACAGTTATAAGAACCACATAATATATTTCGGATTTGTGGTATAATAGTCTGGTTCAAATCAGCATTAACTTCCCTCAATGCTATATAAAAAAATACCTGATTTTATAAACATTTACATTATGTAGGTGCTAAGTTCAAGGAAGTTTTAACAGTGTCTGCGGTTGTTAAATTCTTCTACTTTGAATGCACTTAGACGTGTTTATATTTTTTCCATTTTCTGGGGCGGATGCAGAGGGTGCAGTTGCACCCCCTTAAATTGTATTAAGAAAAATAATTGCTGTATTGTATTGTTGTAAGGTATAAGAGTGCAATTTCCCGGCACCTATGAGGCAGGCGCGGATCCAGACCTCTTCGTACCGTTTGCCAATATAAAGTGATAGCAGTGCCTGGTGGTCTGGCGAGTTCCAAATCTTTCTGTTGGAAATGCCACCTACCTTAACCAAAGACAAAAATATATTGACAAAATTAACTTTTTGCATTGTCTAAGTATTAATCAAAGAGGGACTGTAATTAAGTTGACTGCGATAACGTACAGTACACTGTTGAGTTCTTTTATTATTATTATTATGATTTATGTCACAATGTATGGTTAATACAAAATCAATCACAGGGATAATAGGCTATACATGTGCGTTGATTCTTATAACCTTATTGAAAAACATATATAATTTTATTATATTTTGTTATTCCAAAATTACACCAAAGCGAAAACATATTATTTTAATTATTACTTTTTGATTAATGAATTACTATTTCATTATTTTAATGAATGCTATTCGTTACAAAAAAAAAATTAAGTCTTTAATGGAGTTGGTAGCCTAATTGTAGACCTAGGGCTTAAAACTTACGAACACACTAAGATACAGTACGTCTAAAAAGAAAGTCAAAAATGACCATCGAGCACCAAGAGACTGAAAATGAACACAGAATCTGAAGAAGAGCAACGACGTCAATTTCAAATCATACAGCGTTGGAAGTGGAAAAATAATTTAAAAAAAAAAAATACTGAGAAATTGAGAAGATATCTAATAAGCATATAATACTGTATTAATTGGCAGGTAAAATGTAAAGTTTCCAGGCCCGTATATCCAGTAGGTTAGGTAGGTATAACCATGGAGGTATTATTGAGAAGGAGATCACTCGGCAACAGATCCCTTTGACGCGACAAACCTATGTGTTCCCCGCTTTTGGATCGCGCGCGGGCGTATTACCCTATAATTCACATTTTTTCGTTAGCAACAACTTGGCAACGACAGGCATTTATACGCTTCCAGCAGAGCAGTTGTGCAATAAAACTTTTGATTTTAACCCATTAAATATCTTTATAATGAACAATGTTCCCCTGATTAGATTTTTTTCGGGCTTTTGGTATGTTATTATTTGTATATTTCAGGAACGGATTCCGTAAAATA